TTCTGGCCTGGGTACCTGTCTGTGGGTTTGTAAAGAATTGTGTTGTCTGGCACCTCGTAGTGCATCCTGTGTAAGGAAGAGGTCGGAACCAGGACAATCCTGGTTTCAGTCTAGAAACCGACCTTCCTCAAAGCTAGAAACACCCTTGATGCAGCTTTCAGCTCCCTCCATCGCCATCCATGAGGACACGATGGAGCAGAAAAGAAGAAGTGTTATTAAAGCACATAAAGCCCCAAAGGCRAGATGCATCTCATTGACACTGAAATACCTTTAAGCTCCCAGGCACTCAAGGAAGCTCAGTTTGAACAGATGTCTCGTAAAAGCAAAACAGATCATTTTCATGTATTTAAATTAAGGAATTTATTAAAAAAAAAGCCAAAAAAACAATCAAAACAGTGGTTTGATCTAGATACAGCAGCACTGTGACATTACTAGGACATTATGTACGAAGAATCCAAGCAGCCATAGAACACAGAAGCCTTTATCTTCAGTAACAATCTCAAAATGAATCTAGTTTCATCAAACAATGTTAAAGATCTCCCTGGAAAGAGAAACAAAACCAAATATCCCCCCAACCCTCTAACCCTTTGGATACTAGAATGATTTTTTTTGTACAATACCAACAGCCACTAGCTCTTCTAATTGAAAACATTTGCTTTAATTTATTATGAAAATGATTTGTTGTTGACTCAGTTATGAAAGACGGCTTTTAACATTGCTTTAGAAGTGTCTGCTCTTCATATGACTACAGTATTAGAAGTGCCTAAACACATTTAATCCTGGATATGCTCTTGAAATTCAATCAGAAGGATATTCTGTGTATGTTCATATACCAAATATGATTTTTAATTTTTAAAGCAGGTGGAAAGACTAACCCTAATATGAAACGGCAATTTTACAATTTAATTATTAGTCAAATATGGGCAACCACATGATAGTTCATGAAATCTTTAGATCTATCTACATTGCTCAGAAACACAAAATAAAGTTTTTACATCCTTCACCTTCAAAAGGCTAAAATGCCAAGTCTTTTAGAAGCGTGTCCAGTACTTAGAAGAAATGCAATCAAGGGAAATTGCACACGAAGTAATTCATCTGAGCTGGCTAATAAACATACTCAGCTGCGGGCGGGGTGATGAGGAAGGAAAACACATTTGTCATCCAGCCACTCTCTGGAATACTTCTTGCTGGGACTGACTCTTCTTCACTGGCCTGCGATGTGCCAGAGATCTGGAATTTCCCCTCTGCAGTCCTTTGATCCCAGGAATGTGGTTACTTCTTTTKCTTCCATAGATGGGCAGTGAGTTGATCCGGTGTTTACCATTCACGCATCACTGTGACTGTACACAGCATTACACTTAATTGACACCTAGGAATTCTGGTGCAGGTTTGGCCAAAAAAAGAGAAAAAAACGTGAAGCTGAACAAGGGCATGATATTTTCTTCCCTTCTTCATCACTACTTATTTCCAGCATAAAAAAGAGGAAGTGTTTGTGTCATCGCTGCAATTAGTAGCTAGCTCTTAGATAAGAAATGAATACTGGAACATTTGCTCTGTCATCTTCTGCTGGAGGTGTCTTTGCAGAAGTGAAGTGCATCCCGTCTCAGCATCTCTGAGGAACTGTAACAACCCAACAACTGAAAAGACCCCTTCTTTACAGGAGTCACCTCCCTAGAGTCACGGAAATAAGAGCTCCATCAGGCCTATTTCGCTTATAATAACAAAGTTAATATTGATCTGCTTTATGCATAGACTACAGGGTGCTTTCCATTGACAGGGAGCAGCACTCCACGTTTAAGAACTGGAAAGCAAAACTGCTCACAGCTTTGCCCAGGTCAGTAAAGGAAAACCCGGCAGGACAGGAATACAGTCCACTGCTGCTGGCTCCGCCACACAGACCAAGGAGAACACTTTTTCACAAGCAACAATATTGATTTCACTGAAYAGGCTGCAATCTCTTTAAAATTGTCTCTTTCATAAAATCAATTGACAGTGTCCTAGCTCAGCTGATCCAGCAGCAGCATCTTGTACTTGCATTATCACAGAGAGGTTTGGGGGACATGAGTCTACAACACTGCRGCACGATGTTGGCTTTCCCCTTCATCAGGGATATCCCTAGAGGAAACAACGGGCACTTTGTTTATCGCTCTTCCATGAAAGTCTACAATAAGAATGACAGGATTCAGGCTCAGGTATGTGGGAACACTAATCTGTGGAAGAGCTGATCATCCAGGCTCCATGGGCACCTCCTTGCTCTTCGAGCTCTTACCTCTGACTTGCTCACAGAGAATAAACTACCTTGGAGCCATGGGCCAGACCTCTGCTTAATGGGACCTTGAGGAACTTCAAGAGACTCCAGAAACTTTGGGTTGCAGACAACTAACCAAGGATGAATGTGATGTACAGTAAYTGCTATTTGATGCTTAATAAAGATACACACATTAGGTAGCTTCCTCACTGTACTTTAGTGCTCATGGCCTCTCTGTGTTCTTTTTTTTTTTTTGTCCTTCTCCTGGCTTTATTGGTATCATGGGCTGTTTTCTGGTTTTCRTTTTAGCTGAGTCATTGTGTTTGAGAGAAGATTAGCAGCAACTGGACATGAAATGGGAGGTTTTCATAGATAAAGAGAGCCTGGAGCCTGAGTTCTGTTTGAACAAAACCAGGAATCAGCATCTTGGAAAGAGCCACTCGCAATGTTAATGAAGTTGGAGTTTGCCTATGCAACCTACAGCGCTACTCGCCATAGCTTCTGGGGAGGGGATGACTGCAGATTGAGTCAGAAGCAAATTGTGTTACAGGCACCTGGAGGTGCCTCCGAACTGTCGGTCACCGGGCAGCTCTAACCTGCAGCAGGGCGGGCTGCAAACTGCAGCACTGAATTGTGCGGTTCCCGAGCGTGCCGTGGGATTCCCAGCATCTGTCTGGTTTGATAATCTTCACACCTGTTCTATCTTAACACATACATTCCTGCTCAGGCAGTATCTCAGTCACAGCCGCTCTTGTAAAAAGCTCTTTTTAGATAACCCAGGTCAAGTGTGTGTATCTAAGAGTTTATTATTTGGTATTTTTTCTTCATTACTTGTAAGTTTAGAAAGTCTGTCAGCCAACCAGAGCACAAGAAGAATGCTGCAAGACGAAGTGAATCTTGAGGCACCAGAGAGGATGAATAAAGAATTTTTGAATCATAAAGCCCATAATAAATGTTCACTACATTACTTAGGAAAGTCTTTAAAAGTAACAGACTTATTTGCACAATTCAGGATCAGTGTGCAGGAGTTCCCTAGTTATTACAAAGAGCTCTATTTGTTCATCAGTCTTATTAAAACAATCAGATCTTAATTTGTGCATTTTTCAAAAGAAACTGCACTGTAATTGGAAGATGATATAGAAAATGAATCACTCTGGAAAGCTATTAAACAGCTACTCCTTTCTCCTCCCCTGTTATGTGCAAAGCTACCTCAAAAAATTATCCATGCTGAATCCAAATATTGCAAATATTGCATATTCCCTCGTAAATGTTCTCCAAGATTGTATGATGAAATTAGGAGCCTATTTTTTTCAGGACTTCTGCACACCCATGGTGTTTTCTCAATGAAGCATTTGACTCCACAGAGACAAGTTCCAGTTGCTCCTGGTCGCGCAGAGGAAGGGAAGGACTGTGCTCTGTCCTGGGTATGGGCCAGGCTGAACAACAACAGAACTCAACTATTTGTTACTGCGGGCGAATCTTGACCAGAAGATTCCCAGTTTGTCAGCACTACTGGTGTGTGATATTGACTGTAAAGCTCAAGTCCTGGATACTGAAAGCGTATTGCAGCCCTGCCCTCCATTCCTCACGGTACTGCTGCAATTTCTGGGGACAGGATAGCAGCCTCTCAGGGAAACAGCAGGAAACCTCCCTCTGGCTCTTGCTGTCTGTCCTTCCCTTCACTCACTCTCTGCTCCACAAGGGCTGGGACTTTAGTGTAGGCTTAGCACAACCTGGAGATAAGAATCCATCCTCCATTTCAAGCCATGCAGCCACGGAATAATCTCCTCCAAGGATCACAAGCTCTTGGGACTCACAAGCACAATTCTTGGCCACTCCAGGACTTTGCACTGTCCTGGTTGCCCATTGCTGGAGTCCTAGAGGTGCTGAGGAGGGAACTGTCCCAGTGTGAGGACAGCAGGAGGGGCAGAGAGGAGCTCCCGTCACAGCACAGATGTTGCCCAGGGTACAAACCTGGAATCCTGTCTACCGTCACACTGAGAGAGAGCATCCGTGTCCCACTACCATGTTACTTGCTACCACTCACTTTTGTCTTACCAAAAAATCATCCACTGCTTGCTAAGATTGATCATCTAGGAGGTATATGGCCATGTGCACTAAAGGGTTTGTTTTAATTAGGATTTTATTTCCCAAATAGGAGATGGTAAAAAAAAAAAAAAATGTTGTCTTCATGTGACAAATTGCTAACATGCAGAAAATGAATCATGAAGCAAATGAAACTCTTGGGTGACAGGCTGTGGTCTTATCAGCTTTATCTCATGAAACACTGGGGAAACATGAAACATGGACTAAGCCCTCCCATAACTCCTTTTTTTCTCTCCCCCAGAATGGTGGCTGGATAACACAAGCCACGTTTTTCTGATGGGAGAATATGCTTCTCTGTTGCTGCGGATTCAGATAAGGGCAGTGGTGGAGCAGGAGCTTAGTCCATACTCCAGCTGTGACCCGGCACCCCCTTTCCCCAGCACCAGTGCATGGCATGAAGTTCCCTGGTAGTGCCCGAACATCTTGCACACGGGACAGCTAACGGGTAAGCCCTCGAGCAATAAAAACAGACTAGAGTTGCGTGACCAAGAACTAATAATTAGTCCAAGAACTAATATTGGTGCCTCATCTCAGGTGCTCAGGTGCAAACACCAGTGGTTTGGCTAAGATCCGTTCTTCCACTTCCCACCTACAGTTCTTGAAACGAGGTGAAATCCCACGTGTTGCTGAACGAAGCCTGTGAAAACCTCCCAGAGCAATATGTCCTTATCCAAAGCATGCTGAAATGACTATTGGGGTCTTGTTGCTTTACTTCAGGCTACAAGAACAGATCCAGAGGATATGGGCCTCTACAGACATATGCATATAGGCATATGCTGTGATATTTCATTTCTCTTCAGAAACTATTATAGTTTATAGCTGGTCCAGGGAGAAAATTATTCAAAATGTTCCTCTCTTCCTGTCTCCCTACAATCTTGCACCTTGCCTAAGACCTGCAATGCCATCAGCTGAGGCATCGGAGAGCGGCTCAGCACCATCTGCACTGGGCACAGGGATTTCCTGCAGGAGGAAGGGGAATGTATTCCTGGTGACATTCTCGCACGTTTGCAGAGCTTTTCTGCATGTCTACCAGTGAGCAGGGAATCTGGAAGCTTCTGGAATGATGAATGCTTTCTTCCTCACACTCTTTGCTTCTGATCGAGGTGCCCTGTTTCCCTTCTTAGTCTTCTGCTTTATGCCGGTTCCAACCCTGTTCTATTTCCCTCCCACATGCCTAGAGCTGTTTCAAGAGTTCACACCACTTTCTCAATCACAGCTTTGACACTACTAACCCACATCTTCCTTTCTGCACTGGCCAGAGAGAACATATCTATGGACATTTTGTCTAAGGAATTCTGTCTACACAGACTTTTGCTGGAACAGTGCTTCCTCATGGCCAAGGAGAGCTGCTCTCTTTGTCAGACACACCAGGATGACCATCAGATGTTCCTTGTTGACCCCAAAGTGTAAAATGATCAGTCCAGTCTAGGCAACATTGTAAAGAGCATGTTGAAATACCCTGTTTTACAGAACATGGACTATGTAGACATGGTCTGCACTTCGGGGACACGGTTCTTGCAATTCAACTTGAAGGGAAGCAATGATATTTTATATCTGATCTGGCACTCTTAATAACAGATACTAGTCTGCTTCAGAAGAACRTATTTCTGGTGCCTGAATCTGACTGATCATATTTGTACTAGTGGGAAGAATATTTTCCATATTGGTTACASGATCCTCTACAGCAAATGACAGAGCCAAAAGTGGGAGCTATTATTTCATATTTGACATTTTATTCAATTAAGTTGAGTACTTAATTGAGGGGATGAGCCATGGTGTGTTCTACATGACACTTAACACATAAAAGAACCCTAAGTGCAGACACAACCTACAGGTTCTACTGCTGCTCACAAATGGAGRCGGGTAAAATAAAAGTAGATGCGATGAGACATAAGCAGGTCAGATCCCATTCGGAGCCTCCATAGCACAGCTCTAGAAAACTGACATGAATCTCATGGTCAGAACAAAACAGACTATTGAATTTCTCTCTTGCTACCTGTTACATAGAAGCAACAGTGGAAATTTCTTGAACTTCTGACTGTAACACTGACATCACTTCGAATTTTGCTCTTAATTCAATGGGTGCAAGTTTCAAGTCCTTGAAAACAAATGGTCACCTGCCTTCCTTGTCACCTCTCAAACAATTTTGTTCTTTCTCTCATTGGAAACAGCAAAAACAAAACAAAACAAAAAATGAAGGAAAAGGGCTTAAAACAGGGTTCCCTTTCAAACCAAACCAATTTGTGATGGTCTAACAACATAAGTAAGTGCAAATCTCAGCTGTGCTGGTCCCACAACATCAMACACCTTAGGCATAGCAAGTAGTATTCTTGAATGCATCAAAGCCTTATCAGTATCTTTTAACATTTAATGCGAGACATTACAAATTAATGGAGAAATGTATGCAGTGTTGCTGTAAACCAAATATACAGATGTAAATTAATTAAGAATAAACTGTTCCATAAAAATGCATGTCAATAAAACCCAGTCTGGTAAAGTGGAATATGAATATTTTTCTAGATTTGCTAAAAAGAACAATTTCTCATTTGAGGCTCTGGAAGTCTTGAGTCACATTTCTTTTTCTTTTAAAAAAATGCCTTAAAACACATGGCTTTACAGCTGCTGCTTGGAAAATATACACCTCCAAAGTCTGACTTTCATTTAAATACAAATGTACAAAATGTAAACTGAGACAATAGAGAAATTTACAAAACTTTCCTTTAAAAATAATAAAGACAAAATTCAGTTCTAGCATGATGCTATTTAAATACGTGCAAGTAGTCATGTTCATTGAATTTCTATTGCAATGTTCTAAATAGACAAATTTGATTCACACAGTCTTGAGTGCCACCTCCAAAAACAGACCTGAGTGGAAATGTCTTCTTAAAATGTGAGGCTCCACTGGAAGGGATGGATAGAAAATCTCCATTTTAGGGAGATCCTTTTTGTTTTTTCTTCTTTCCACTCAACGGTGGATGCTCACTCTTCCGTAGAAGCTCCATAGAGGAAGGATGCAATGTGTTGTTTCATAAAACCCAGTTGGAACTAGCTGCTTCCAGTGGAGTTTGAACTTACATGGTTTGAATTTATGTGGTGATTTAAATTGGCCTTTGAATTTGAAGAACTCTTTGAATTGTTCTGATGCTATAGAAAGAAGAAAAGAATGACAATCAGATTCACCAAACATACTACGCTTTCCTTTTACCCAATATTGCTCATTTTATGGTTATATTGTACTAACTGTAATGAAAGATCTTTGAAGATCCCTGGAGGTAAAATATTGTTCACTTTCTTACCTGTACTCTCTCTAGGTTAGGAAGACCATGGGGGTTCCTGAGAATTACAGAGATGACACAACTGAGCTCCAGGTGTCAATTCAATACATGGCTAAATCTGACTAATGCAAAGAATACCTGCCAGTGCTTAGGTATAGCTTTGACTCTATAGAAATACACGGATCTAAGCGTGTTATCTGAATTTGCAAAGGTCACCATGGTGCCTCAGGAAGCTGCATGTCACATAGTCTCTCATCTACTTCCCTCTCAAGGCACGTGGTTTCTTGCCTTGACTATTTCACTCAACTTCCACTTTTTTATTTTTTTTAAACACATAAACCAAAAGATTATAAAGGAAACTTTTCAAAGACATAAAACCATTATCAAAGTGTGCTTAATGAGAAACCTAGCACACAACTGAAAAGTACTCTGGGAAGTTTTCAAGCACTGAAAACAAATGTGATGAATAAACTTGGGATTTCTGGCAGTAAAACATCACAAGAGGTGGATGGGAAACCTGAAACATACAGTGTTAGTCAGGAAATTACCAGGGAACAGTGATAGCCAGTCCTCTGTAAGACATAGTGCCTTTGTCCTAGCAGAAAAACCTGTAGAACATGATTGTGAGCATGGGCATCTAGACTGTTGGAAGGTTCCTCATGTTAGTCCTGAAAGAACTCACCTGTCGTTTAAATATTCTCTGCAGCAATCCTTTCTTGGGTGGCTCTGGGGGGTAGCTTTTATTTAGGTCTGGTGAAATAGTACCATTTGGTCCAAACACATTTAGTTCTTTGAAACATTCTGTTTCTATCATCTGGTGAAATAYAGTAAGAAAGAAAGAAAGAAAAAAAGAAAAAAATCCAATCCATTAGCATTAAATATACTGCAGCAGTGCTAGGTTGTTCAAAGGCAGATCAGGATCATCAGCTGCTATCAGCAGCTGGGCTACGTTTCGGGAGAGTTCACAGCTGAAATCCTCTTGGTGGCCACAGAGGCTAGATGGGATATACAAAAAAGAAAGGCTTGGTTCACTCTGTGTGATTGCACATTGGTGAGGACAGACTTCTCATAAGAGGTTGTCTGAGAAAGTTTTCTATTTTTTTTTTTTTTCTGGAGACTATCAGGTAAAGGAGCACACTCACAAAATTCTCTTTATTAGCAGCATTCCACCAAGGGGATGTGGCATTTGAGCAACCCTTGGCTTATGATCTCAGCATCTGGCTCTGCTTTGATAGCAAAGACCCAAGACCAAACACCCTGGAGCAGTTCAAGACCCAGAGTCAACAAGAGCAGCTGGGACCCATTGGAGATGCAAAGCAATGGGTGAGATCGGGACCACTTGTGGTCTCACACCAAGGCTGCCATCCCTCCTGAGGAAGTTCAYCAGGGCTGTTGTCAAAGTGCCTCTGGAAATTCAGCAGGAAGCACAGTAGGATCCTTGCCAATTTACACAGCTATGTAGCGCCAACAGATACAGTCACCTGAGCCYGACATCTGTGGTACATTATAGATCTTGAAAGAGTCCATTTGTAACTTATGAAAGAATTAGTTTGGCAAGGTAGCCARTAGCTATATATTATTGGAAATGTATAGCTCCTCTTAAAGCATCTGTGTTAGGGGTTTTATTGGGCTAATTTTACTACGATACATCCTTACCTCATTTTGCCATGGAATAGAGACTGATCCTGTGGAAAACTTGGAATAGAAATCATCATCTGTTTGGTCCAGGTTTACTCCTTTCACTGTGGAGAATTGCTCGATGTCTAACACGTCCTTGCAATATACTGCTCTGGGCTATCTCAGCAGAAAAAAAGAAAAAAAAAAAAAAAAAAAAGAGAAAAAATATTTCTGAATCTTACCATGTGCCTTTATGCATGGATTCAGTCAAGTGAGAATGCCTAACAACAAGTGACTTTTTGCATCCTGCTTTTCTAGACTTGCTCTGCCCGCATGTTTATCATCAAAGGCTGACTTTGCTTTTAGCTTGTTAAGCATCCTACTTTGAAGTCCTTAAAGCATCAGCACAAAGTGGGTTTTAGTCATCCATGTAGCATATGGCTTAGAGGTAAGGGAACAAGGACAGAAAGAGTAAAAAAAAAAAATCAGTATTTTAGGGGACTTTTGGAGAGGGAACAAGAGAAAAATGGAAATGTCCACGAATGACACACTGGAGACAGCTCTGAAAAGGYACCTCAAACAGAAGTATCCTTCCACTCAGACAGCTGTGGGTTTTGCAGCTTGAAACTTTAAAGGAATGTATACTAATTGCTAAAGAAAACACAAGAGGTTTGGCATTTTTCCATTGTTTTTATTAATAGCTCAGCTGCTGGAAGCTCTCCAGGATCACCTCTATTAACTCTCTTAACTTGGCAGCCTCTCTTCAAACAAATAGTCAAGCATCTTTACCTTTTTTAAACTACTTAATTTTAGGGGGGTGACAGGCTCTTTGCAGTGACACTGCTTTTTAGCTTGTATCCCAGCAATCAATCATAGGAAGCAGAAATACTTATCCCAAGTTATTGCTGTAGTTAGAGTGGCTGCGTGCATGCCTTTGAGGCACAGGAGCACCCAAAGGGCAGCTGGTGGGACTGCCCAGCCTTGGAGACCTTCAGCACATGCTGAATGTTGCTCTCTTTGCAAGCTAGCATGGCTCTGAGTGCAGGGGTGCCACTGTGCAGTATTCTATCTGGAACTGAGCAGCGTGACCAAACCAATTAAACTGATGCCTCCTGGAAGAGATTTTTGTTGGAGGCTCCAGCTCTCCGCACCTCTAATGGCTGCAAGCCACAGAATTCTTGTGGAGACAGAATAGTCCAGAGGAGAATGGAGAGAGGTGGGTTGGATTACAACCTCTGCCACTGGCTATATGGCTTTGGGTGATTCAGCTGACTTCAGTAAAGACTTGGAAACCTAGGGATGAAGTGCCGACTAATTTAAATTAGAGTCAGCCCTTGATTTCCCAAGAAATTGCCATAAAAATTTATGTGCCTCTGCTTTAGCAAATACAGCTATAAGAGGTGCCTTCTAGTCCCTACATGCCACAGTTAAGCTTTTAACACACTCTGGCGAATCCCAAAGTTGAGCCCAGAATTTTCTAATTTTCTACATCAGAAAAAAATAGTAGCTTGTCTCCCGTTTCATCCCATGAAACAGGTCGTAACACCACGGGCTAATTGGCAGGAATAACTAGGCCGCATAGTAAAATGTAAAGCAAAACCAGAGCAGCTAAAGTAAACTTTTGTAGCTTTCAAACCACTTTGGTTTGGTTGAGTTCACAGCAATGTGACTGAAAGCTGCCAAGATGTTACTTTCGTTAATATGGTAGAATGGCAGTGTTTACTAACAGCCATATGGGAACTTTAAGGATAGAAGGCCTAGCCAGAAAGACAGGCCTCCAGGAGGAAAATAACCAGATAATTTGGATAGAGACCCATGCCACAATGAGGTGGAAAGCTTTTCTATTGCCAGTGTAACTGAGACTTTCAGTATGTGCAAGACTGGTAAGAGGAAGGAGGCTGTGTTTCCCAGGAACACCAACAAAATCAAAATGCTGTCTCGGGTCCTGGCCTCTGTCCTACGTGATCCCAGATACCTGAGCTGGGTTTGGACTTTCTGCTAAGAGTGTCTCCCCTCACAGCGAGCAGCCCATTCCTCACCCCCACAGAGCTTTGGTCTTTTTTAATTACAGTCTCACTTTGTGTGTGTATCTGTATCTATGTATATGAGGCTTTCTTTGCTGAATTTTATGAGTGCCATCTGGTTCAGATTGTTTTTTTTTTCTTTTATTACTCCTATGGATAAGTTTGTAAACATATATGTGCATACATGTCTCCAGAGCAGTTCTCCTCCTCCCCACAGCCTCCCCACTCCTGCTCACTGCTCATCACAATGTCCTATGGCTGTTCCAAGACAAGGATTTCTTTTCAGAAATGAATCTGTAATGGGCCAGTGGAGGTTCTTTCCATTGTACTCACATCAGGGACAAAGGGAGGATCCAGCATTCCTGCTTCTAACCGCTTGAAATTCATGCTCTTGAAAAAGGGGTGTCTCTTCACCTCTGCTGCACCTTCCCCTTGACACCCCAGCCGCTGCTTCGCATCCTTGGTGAGGAGCTGAAACGTGCCCAGAGGAATGGTAAGGAAGGGAGAATAGTGAGAACCTCACAGTGATTTTGTTTTTCTCCAAAGTTGGTTTTTTTTGCATGCATCCAGGGAGGATTATGAAGGGAAATTGTAATTGATGTTACTTAATGGCCAAASTTAAGTCGATTAGGATCCCACTGTTCTCAATGCTGATCAGAAAATCACCTGCTGTAAAGTCAGGTTATGATCAAAATAGAGATTGTATTTTTCTTTTACTTACAGCGAGCACTTTGGAGAAAAGATCTGGCATTTCTCATACATATTTATAAGTTCCCATGTGCTCTTCCTATTTTTTTACATGTTACTCTTGTCATAATAATTTTCCTGAGTTGTGTTACTTATGTTATGTTACTTCACCAYCAAATTGCATTTTCTCCTACCCATTGCAATATATTCCAGTATAAAACATATACTGGACCCAATCATTTTTACTTGTCAGTCTATCCCTGTAGAAGTCAAAGGGAATTTTGCCCGTGGAGCTACATGTCTTCACCCAGAAGATGCACTAGTGAACCAGAATTAGCAATTATCCTAATGCCAGCCTTTTAGAGAAGGGCAATGTGCCACCTCCATATGCTACAGCAAGTGCTGTCTGCTTTCTGGGTACACTCTGTGGAGCAACAGAGATTACTCAGCCCAGCATCCTTGGTCTGTTATATCCAAAGACCTGTATAAACACAAACACAAATATACACAGGGAGCAGAACTCCTTGTGTGTAGGAGAAAGGGTCCATCTGGCTCAGTGGAAGACCAGTTCTGGCAATGACCAGTCAGTGGATGACCAGAGACAGCATACTGCCAACTCTTGACCAAAATGCCTCTTCTTTTAAATCATATTCACAGAATTGAATGGGCCAAACTGGTGTTTTAATAGATGGTGTCTTGAGAGACAGAGAGAAGAGAGTTGAAGCTCTGCATGTGTCAGAGTTCAGCATATAGCGACTGATGCTAAAAGGGAAAGGGGAAGAGGAGGGGAAAATGGAAAGGGAAGGAGAAAGGAAAGGGGAAAGGGAAGGAGAAAGATAGGGAAAGGGGAAAGGGAAGGGGAAGGAGAAAGAAGAGAAGGGAGAGGAAGGGAGAAAGGAAGGGAGGGGAAGGGACGGGGCCACCGGGGGGCAGCAGAGGAAAGGGTACCGTGGGCCAGCACTGCACCATGGCTGAATGATCTGCTGCCACACATGGAAGAGCCCCTTGGAAAGGGCCCTGATGAGGAAACACCTTGGGGCAGCTTGAGAGACGCTTCCATGGAACTGGGAAGCTCTACCWGGAGCCCGGGGTGGAAGGCTTCCTGCATCACCCCCTCTCCCATCTTCACTCTGATGCAGGGACCCCTCTCCATGCCCCACRACAGCTCTGCCTGTCCAGAGGGGACTCGGCTCCAGGGTGGGAGAGAGGGATGGTTGGGCCTCCTTGCACCCCTCAGACCCACATGGTRCCGAGCCAACTGGAGCAGCTGTGGGCTCTTTTACCAGCAGCAACCTGCCTGGCAGTGCCTGTTTGAAGCTTTCTTGGTGGCACAGAGGCTTGGGAGAGTAGGAGAGAAAGAAGCATTTCTAGGGAATATGCAGAAAATCAGGCACAGCCCCGGAAGAAGATGGGAACGTGGAGCCTGGCCTGTGCAGCCAAGATGGCGCCTGCAGGCTTCCCGCCTCAGCACCTGCYGCGCTTCGGCCACATCGCCTCCACAAGGAGGAACCTTGACAGGGCTGTGTGTAGTGTACGGGACAGCCGTGATCCTTCCTYGGGTGCCTGCCTAGCACCAGCTTCTCCTGTGTTTATCTGTGGCGGACAGGGCCGCAGCTTTGGTGGCTTTCCTGAGCACTGTGCTACCCCCTGGGCATCAGCATTTCCCTTATCTGACTCCCACAGCCTGCTCTGTGAACACCTCCTCATTCTTGCACTTTCTTTTTGCTAGGAGACTTGTTTTTCCAGGCTGAGATATCAAATGGCTTTTGCAGAGAATGTGCCCCGCATGCTGAGCAGACTGCCATGGCAGAGGCTACGTAGCCAGAAGAAATCATGAAAGGGATGGTGGGACATAAGTGGAGATGTAGGAGACATGGTCAGAGAAGACTGTGAGGACAGAGGGGTGGGTGGGAAAGCCAATGGTTCCGACCATAAAACAGCTCTCAGCTTCTAAAAACCAAGCTCCCTTTCTCCCCCAGCGTCCTCTGTCTCTGATACTGCTACTGTTGAGTTGATGATGTCTGCTCTGATCATGACCAAAACTGTAGAGAGAGGGAAACCAGCTCTCTGGACTGGGCTCCTCTTCCCTTGCTGCTCTGCCCTTGCTGCTGGTCGGCACAGAAACGACTTGCATTCTTTATATCAGAAATACACCCTCTGGAAACAAGGTCTTTTAAAACCTCAACAAATGACAGCTGAAGAAGTTTCTCAGCTGTGTCAGTAAGACTGTGTCTGGCAATGGCAGCTTCCTTCTGGAGAAAGCAACCCTCTCACACCATACCTGACACAAAATCACTGCCCTGGCGAGGCTGGTGGTGGGAGCATGACTGCTTTGAGCACTGGCAYGCTATGGGATCTTGGAAACATTGCAAGGAGTGGTTTCACAGTCTTTAGAAAGAGGAGGATTTGAAGAAGCGTTTATATGCCTTGTCATCCCCTAAGCATGTAGTAGATTCATGGGATACAGCATCATACAAATGCAATTTAATCAAAAAAGCTTGTTTTTTTTTTCTGACAGCACTTCTCTGGAGCTCACTTTCCCTGGGTAGAAAGAAGGTTGAATGTTTTACTTTTGAATCATAAGACTTACATAAGACTTAGCTTTTATGGTTTTGAGGGAAGTTTTATTATTATTTTTTAATCACAACAGGTATCTAGATCTAGCTGATGTCAAAAAACGCTTTGCAATTTTCAGAGAAGATCTCTTTTGTCTTATTGGTGCTAGGCAGAGAAGACAAAAGTTTTATTATTGTTTGGTTGCTGTGTTGACAGGTGGAAAGAATAACCTGAAGGCTGAAGGGCCACTTTTACTACCCATGACTGACACATTTTTGGAAATGGTGCCTTGAAGCGCTCAGGAGCAAGGGACAGAGCTATCAAAGAGCAAAGAGCTGTCAAAAGRGGTCGGTTTGGACTTCCCTCTAGGTGAAAAAGGAGTCCTCTGCAGTTTCTGCTCTAAAAGTCAACTATAAAATGAGAAAAAAGAGGCGGCTACTGTTCTGTTTGTGCAGCCAATAATCCGCCTGCCTCAAAACTAAGTAGGAAGACTAAAGTAATCTGGGAATTTGCCCTTGCCAGCAGGAGTGTGAAGAGCCTGGTCAGAGGCTACTGTGGTTGAGGATAGAAAAMGAAACTGTGGGGAGTCCTGGGTTCCTCAGTAATAAAGGCAGGGTATTTCTCAGTGACCTCTGATGCAAGCAGGAATTCTCTGCAGCATGAATGCATTTGGTTGTGGGTGGTTGTCCACTGTGGACTGAAAGATGTCAGAGAAACAGGCTGCTGGGAGTGGGCTGGGACTGCAAGGCATTGTCTCTGTGAGAGCAGCAAGGGTGAGATGCTCAAACAGCCACTAAACTGGCATTAATGCCCCATCAGAAAAGCACAGGTTCACCCTTAAAGCCTTGCTGTGAAGAAGCTGCTGCCCACCAACTGAGGAGAGTCCCAGCACGGTYGCAAAGGAGAACAAGAAACTCATGGAATTTTGTACAGAATCTCATATCTCTGTAGCTGCAGACAGGTCTACAGGTGGCAACAGATAAAGCCAGATAGTTCTGAGGGCTTCTGTTGTGGATATCAAGAAATAGCATGAACTAGAATATATTCCAGAAGTGAAAGTCCTTCCTGTCTCCAGGGAAGAATGAATCCTGCACCATTTCCTGCAGCTCCAGAAGTGTGCTGCACTGGTTAACCTATACAAATCTGAAATAAGCATCCTGCTTGGGGATCTGACCAGGGGAAGAAAATGGACATAACAGCTGTATGTTTTCAGTCATCTCTACAGTTCTGTTTAATCTAATTTCAAAAGATGCTTTTGATATGACTAGAGAGCAGAACAAAAGCAACTACATTAGGCTGCTGATAAGACCTGTTAAGAGCTGTTAAGACCTGTTCAACGACCAGAGAAACATACATTAAATGTAAGTCTACAGTCAAAGCCTACGGACATCACAGAGCTCCTCAGAGACCTCAGAAGATGACTTTGGCTATCCAGCTATGAATAGAGTCAATACCAAGCAGCAGCACTTTTTTTCTTAGGCACTTATGCAGTGTCTGAGACTTTTCTGCTTCCTTTACAAGAAGAAGCAACTGTTGTGAGGATTGTTAAAACAAAAACAAAAAAGAACCCCCAAAGCACTGCTTTATTTATTCACATGTGATCACTCAGTTCATCTCCAGATAACACTGCATGAAAAACAACTCTAGATGTTTAGTCTAATGACATGAGGAAGAAAACTTTTTTTTTTCAGAGTAAAGTGCAAAAAAATGCTGCTCATGAAAGACTGTCAGGGGAATGACAAAACTACCTTCATTGATCCAGCTGATCAGGTAATTTTATGGAACACTTAGATAAATTTCAATTATGAAAAAATGCTATTTTAAATATTTCTTTAAGAACAGAAAAATAACACTATGGTCCTCTCTCAAATAATAAATAAAGACAGTGTTTGGGGGACTGAAAACGCTAGAACGACATAAAAGGCTGAGGACTGCACTAGTTATGCTTACGATAATCCCAAGCCAAACTCTGGTCGAAGAAGACTCAAACTTCTGGCATGGATGACTGAAAAGCTTAGAACAGAACAGCTTATAACTCAGAATGTAAGTTTCTATTATGATTATTATTACCAAGAGCAATAGCTACCATTTGAACACCTTGATGAGAGAGAGGCCTCTCAGGACGGATAAAAGAGGCAGCACTAATGAACTTTAAGGTGCTATAACAGGTGAACTACTTGGTTTCCAGRGATGAAAGCGAAGAAGAATAGCAGTAAGATGATGGAATTTCTGGTGGTGAATAAAGAAGCGATTCATTTTAGGAAAAAAGAATCCATCATGTTTTAGCTGGCTAGGGAGGCACACCAGGAAGGAAATGGAGATACTTTTTGAGGAGTAAAATGGGAGTTGTAGGAATAGGAAGTGACAGGGAAGGTAGTCTAAAAATGCCTGGGGGAAACGTAGACAAACAGCACACTGACAGAGTGAAATAGAGCACAGCAATAAAGGTCCATCCAATACTGTTGACTTGAATGCACTTCAAGTCACATCCTTGGATACAGGACTGGACTTGTCAGGGAAAACGCACATGTACATCAATGAAGTACAACAGCAACAAAAAGGGAGCATTTCCTAGAAAGACTGGATTTTTTCACAGAAAAATAAACACGAATCACTTATGTTATATGGGAACTATGGGCTGGGGAGCTTCCCAGAAAGCCAGATGCCCCTGTTCCTAATTATTTATTATTCATCTCTACTTCAGGCCAAAATAAGGGTTGATTTATGGGAAATGACTTAGAAATTGTAATATGGAAATATGGGATGGATGATGATTAATGGAAGCTATGAGATGTGCCTGCAAACATGCAAAGGGCATAAACATCTATGAAGGGAAGGTTGAAGTGGGGTGACACTAATGTGTTTGCATGTAAGTAACTGAGTAAAGACATATTTCCTAATGGTAAGGGAATCAGATCGTGGAATAAACTTTGAGGAGAAGGTATGAGTAAGATGACGTTATCTACTACAACTTTATGCTTTGTTTTGCAGGTCTGATGGGATCTTAGATCTTCCTTTCTTGTTCCTTGTTAAAATATTCATACAAAGCAATGAGGTTCTGTTTTTAAGTACAAGCAGCCAAAAGTGTTTGAGAGAAGATACTTACATCGTGGCTTTTTTAACAATATCGCTTGGTAATAGAAGCGAATTTTGGATGGAGAACCACAAATTCCATTATACCCAATATCAGAAGCAAGCCTCTTTCAGTCTTAAAGCACAGTAATATAAACATACGCTCATGACATATGTTGACATATATGACATGTATAAACATAAGCTCACGACAGAGTTTGATGTATCTCTTTTGATACATCAAGAGTTTGCACAAATCACCTAAGCAACCATGACAGTCAGGCAGTAGTTGCTAGGAATTATTTTCAAACAGTTCATCCTTGCCTGAAGCACTGGAATGAACTAGAGGTTCCTGAGGTTCCCTGAAACCATAATTTCTATGGCTTGCAGATGAAAACGACTGCTGCAGTATAATAACTTTCACTACCTACTGTCTGGTAAGTCACAGATCATCTCCAGCACTATCCCATCTATGCTAAATTTAATTCTACTCAGCCTTAACTTTTCATGAGCTCAGTTATTTTACTGTAAATTACAATTCTGTTGTAATAGAATTACAATATTCTGCCTGCAGCAAGAATGTCATTTTTGCCTCACAACATTTTCATTTCACGTACAAACTTAGCACTGTGAAGCACATAAAGTCTCTGCCTCTCCAGCAGCCTCTCCTCCTCACCTGCTGGGAGCTGAGCTGCTGCTAGTAAGCGATGGCAAGCAGGGAGAGCACATAAATGGTGTGGGTCTGYAAGGGCCTCTGGCTGTCCTAGATCCTCCCAAACTGACATCACTGGGGGGCTCTGAATCCCAGTTTAAGGACAGTATATGGCCTAAAGTATCTATCAAGAGTGATGTCAGTTAATTACTACCCTGGGGATTCAGCATGGGTCGGTGCACTGTGAGTTAATGACTTCCAGGCATGATACTTGGCAGTGCTACCATTATATTTTGCAAGGAGACTTCAGTGTCTCYCAAGGAAGCCAATCAGCCAGAATGTTGTTGATATGCTGTTTGCTTGCCTGTTGCACAAGCCACTCTCTAAGTGAAACTCTCACTACCTATTTGTTGACCTTCCCTTCATTCTCTGTCTACCAATACATACTGATACATCAGATTTCACTCTTCAGCGAACCACATTGAGAATCAGGCCACATCCCTTTCCAAATGACAATTTTAGTTTTCTAAAGATGGGAGTTGACATGGCACTGGTGAATTCAGACACAGCTTTGAGATTTCTCTGAGGGTTTGAGGATTTCTATTGTCAGACAAGGCTATTGTGCTAAGGAAATGACTCCCAGCTGAAAGRGTGAGAAAATATTTTAAAGGACAGCTCAACAGTATTAAAAAAAGCTGCATACCCTGGCACCCTGGGGGATGAGCTGCTAACAAAGTTAGTGAGATGGAGTGGGACAACATTTGAGTGTCACAATAATTTCATTGCATAATCTTTGTCCTGCTTACCCCCAGCTCTCACGAAAGACAATGGAAGCATGGGGTGCTCAGTTCCTTGCAGGAGACACTAAGGGTCTTGCATCATCAAGTCCTTTTTTATTTTTTTTCTATAAGACTTTAAAAGTCAGAAATGCATTCTTGACTGCAAACTGACATTCAAAGTCTCACAAGGACAGATACCGCTCCCTTTGCCATAAAACTTTGGAGAGGACACAGTATGACTGTGAGGAATCTCATAGTAAAGCAAGCCCAAATAAACACAATTTGATTGAGTACGAAATGCAGTCATTCCATCAACAGATGAGCTGGGTTAATCCTTGTCTCTGCAGCCCCTCTCCCCTCGTGCTGGATACAGCTGGCTAATGAAGCTGCCACGCTGGACCTTCAAGCTCCTTACCATTTTACAGATGGACTTGGCCTCCTCAGAAAACTTATGGGAATACACTTCTTCCGTCTCCAGCACTCTCCTGTCCACCTCTTCCCTCTTCACCTTCTCCTTCCTTCCACGAAATGGTGATTGCCCAGCAATCATTTCATAGATGAGACAGCCTAGCCCCCAGTAGTCCGGGCTCAGTGTGTATCTCTGGTTGTTCAACACTTCTGGGGCTGCGGAGGAGAGAGATGGGTCTTGTCAAAACGCTTCCCATTTACATAGGCAAAACCCAATCCTGTCCCATTTTGGGAACTGAACACACACAGACACACACAGAATGGTGGGTAAAATATAAAAAATGACTTGCTGATTTCTGTTGAATGATTTATAGAAAATGCAGCGTGCTACATGCCATGTTCACATACAAGCTCAGGGCAATTAAAAAACAAAAACAAAAAGAAGTTGAAGCTAAGTGTTAAGGAGAGGGCCATTCTTAAGTCTTTCCAGATTTCTCCATTTAGAAAGAAATGACACGCAAACACACATCCTGTAAACAACAGAGACTTTTCTCCAAAAACAAATTCTGTCTTTTCAGTGAATTTATAGCTTTTTTTTCCCTTTAAATGCAAATCCAGTTGTTTTGTCTTGCAAACACCCAGTCTGCCTTGGGCAAATCAGCACTTTCCTACAGGCACGGACACACTCATACCCACACATGGAGAGCACCCACAGCCTTACAGTGAGATAAGAGACTGCAAAAATAATGACTGATGTGCTTGCTTGCATTAAAATCTCCATATGCTGCAACAGTGTTTCGTTCCTATTTAGTCAAATAAGTTATTTATATATCTGTACATAGTTGGTAGCCAAATAAGTGTAGTAAGTGGTTAAGTGTCATTATTCCAAGAAAAATGTCCACACAGAGAAGGCGTGGAAACAACTAGACTGAGCTTAGAAAACATGTTTAGTTTAATCAGGGAATGCTTTGTTTTATCCCCATACAAATCTCTACTTGCCTCTAAGGGCTCCCTGTGCCCAAACAGCAAAACATTTATGCAGACTTAACGACTTCATGATAAACATGCAATATGCATGATATATTACCTTTTAACTAATAAACAAAGCAGTAAATAGAAAGAGACCTTTTCTTTCTTTTATGCATATAACCCTCTTGGAAAAAAAATCCATGTTACAGTAAATAGAAACCCAGTTATTGTCACTTGTAAATTGTTTTATAAGCTGATACAGAATTATAGACCAGTTTCTGCCAGTCTCATTAGGAGCTGCTGTGGTCCTTCCTGCTCCCTACTTCTGATTTCCACCAGTACGACTACCTGGTGGGCTGCTTCAGGGAACAGAACCAGCTGGATGTAAATCTTTTTCTTATTAGTATTTTATTTATTTTTTGTGTAATCCTGCATGGCAGAAATATCTTCAAAATCCAAGTAATCTCAGTAAGTTATCACCAAGATGAGCTAGTGAGGACTTACCCATATACCCAACTGTTCCTACCCTTCCGCGGATTGATTCGCCCTCAGGAATTTTAACAGCTAGACCCAAATCTGATATTCTAATGTGACCTGCAAGGAAAAAAAGAAATAAAACAACACAGATATATATAAGAATATGACTCCAAAATAGCCAGAAAACGTAACTGTTGTCACCACTGCTTCACTTTTGCAATTTACTGATCTGACATTTTAAGAAATAAGCATTCCAAATCACTGAATTGGAACGATTTAATTGATAAGGAAAAGAGGAATTATTAAGGATGCTATTACTCAGTGAAATTAATTCTAACAGTGAGGCTGAGGACTAGAGTGGATTGGGTTGGATATTTTAAAACAATTTGAAAAAAAAGCAATAAAGAGCACAGAGTAGGGAAGTATCTTGAACTGATCACGGTGGATGGATGGGCTGACCTAATTCTGCAGCTCGGTGATGGCTGGAGGGGCTACATCTGGTTCATAACTCAGCATGAGATTGGATTATCGCTGCCTTCAGCAGCAAAGAGGTACCTGGGCTTGCACAAAGCGAGCACAGAGCTCAGCACAGGCTGACAGCACTTCTGACAGCAGAGCACAGATTCAGAAGCCACCACTTCCTTAATCGTGTCGGCCTCATAACAATAAGGATGGGAAACAATGCAGTAAAGGCAGGGGCCATCTCGGGGCTCACGAACACCCTGCAGTGCAGCACGGCTCTGTTCCACCCGTGCTGCAAGCGCTGGGACTTCATCTGTCCCAAGACCCCGGTACTAGCCCACGCTGAGCCTCCTACTCGCTCCAGGGCACTACCTGCCCTTTGCAGCACACATCCTAAACCTCACTTCAGCTACTTTATTGTGAAGGAACCTCTGTGAACCCCTCAGACTTACCATAATCATCCAGCAGGATATTTTCCGGCTTCAAATCTCTGAGAAGGAAAGACAGCAGTTATTTGCATGGAGCTGGTTTTGATAATACAAGCACAGGACAGTGTGCAAATGCTTTTATTACCACTAATAAACCAACGGGTGTCAACTCATACAGTGAAGAACTCACAAAACCAACACAACTTTCTACAACTCCCTTCACAGGCAGACTGAAACCATATGTCTTCTTCTAAACCGAAGTTACTTGTTTTTCACTAAGCTGAGCTTTTACTTCATAATCCGCTCTGTAACAGATTGATCCATCTAAATCAGTAAGCCCTACAAATGAAACCTTGTAATCCTGTGTGTTGTTAAAGCTCGGTAACATTTCCTGTTATAAAATCTTCTATTAAAATAAAAATTTTAGAAAATTTAACATATTTTATTTGCATTTAAAAATGGATAAAGTAATCATTTGGGTTCAGTTTTTCTATACTTAGTATCTCAGGTTTAATATGTGAAGGTGAGTGTGTATTTGTGTGTATATATATAATAATTTCAGCAAAAACGGTTCAACTAGCTTGGAAAGTAAGATGGGGGCAGAGAGGGGAACGCTTTGCACAGACTGAAATTCTTCTTGCAAGCATCTGTGAAACTCTAGTGTCTCTGTGGTTTGGAGCAATGCCACAAAAATTGGCAAGGTGGTCCCTCTGATGTCAGAGATGTGCCTTTTGCTGTTCCTCTGAAAAAAAAAAATATCCCAAATCTGGCCAAGGTATAAACTTCTGAAAAAATCTCAGTTTTCCTGTATTTAGCAGAGCCCCRGCAGGTCACCTGGGTGGACCGAGGTGCTGCACCGGGTGCTGCTCCTAGGTGCTGCCCAGCCAGCCGTGCCCGTCCCCTCGTGCGCCCAAGGCCACCCCACCTGCTCCTGTGGAGAGGTGCCCAACTCGGCACCTGTGGCTGCTGCTCCCGGCTGCACTGCTGCCAAGCCAGGAACCAGCTTTCCATGCTTTCCGTGCTCCCTTTGCAGATGGCCTCAAACAGGGACGAAGCGAGAAGGCAGGGGAAAGCACTGCTTCAAGCCCAACACTCTGTCCTGACTTATCTGATTGACTCCTACTGCAACGCAGCAATTCAGCCTGGTGCAAAGAAGGGTTTGGTCTCGTCTCTTTTAAGGCTCCCTTGCATTTCCGAAGTAGCTTTATCCCGTTAGCTTCCCAGCAAGACGCATTTGTTTTCAAAGAGCAAGGGGGGAATGTATAAGAGAAACCCTTGCAACCAGAGCTGTGTTGCACACAGCCTGTGCAAAAGTCTGCCTTGTGTTTCAAACTCTAGTGCCTCGAGTTTTCCTGTGCCTTGAGTTTTCCTGTGAATTGAATCTTCCTGTGAATAGTTTCGGCAAGGCTGAGTGAAATCTCTGAATCTATCTTGTTCTTATTTGTTATCTGAGTACTGTGCACAATCTCCTCTTCTTGCTTGCTTCAGGCCTTCTCGACCTCTCCAGATAAACCTCACTGAGTGGCTGGTGGCACCAAGTCTCCTTTTCAAATCAGCAACGCTGATATATGTGAGGGGCACCTGAATGCTGAGGAGAATCCCCGAATTAGTTTAACATGTTACTGTAGGCTTTCCCCTCCGTGTCAGCAGAAAACKTCCAATATTGGAGCAACACAGTCTAAGGCACTTGCCACATTTTTAAAAAATACATTCTCAATCTCACAGGAACTATTTCCACTGGAACTTAGACTTCATCACCTACTTCACCTTCCACTCCAGATGAGTCCAATTTAACATTGTAACTATGGCTAAATGGAAAAAAAAAAAGAAASAAGTTTTGCATGTAAGTTCAAAAATGATGATTTCTTTGAGTAAGAGGTTTCATGGGGACTCTGAGGACAGCAGTTTAGCTCTTATAGTCCGTTGTGATTTGGGGCAATTAAGGCAGCCTTTCCTTCCCCCTAGACTTCAGTTGTCTTTTCCATTTTCAGATGGAAGGTCCTCTGGACCCAGGATTCCAACTCACTCCAGCTCCTCTGGATCAAAGACTCTTTCCTTTTCATGACTAGTGCTTGAAAGTTTCAAGGAGAAATGTAATATTTGCATTGAAATATCTGGAAGAAATAAAAACCCTCTGTGGACACAGCTACACAGAAGGACACTTCATATGGTATAGCTTATTCCTATTCCCATATGTAAGTTGGCTGCACCTAAAGACACCAAAACATATTTATTTTGCTGGTACTGCCCCCATGCTAGAAAGGCTACAAGACATTTTATAGACCCATATAGAGGCCAGCATAAACAGTACAATTCACCATGGCAGACCAGGCTTAACTATATATTTGTGTAATGTCTAGGACAACGTGATCCTGATACTCACTGGTTCACTGCTATATTATCTATATATTTTATCTATATTATATATATAAGTGTAGGTGTGCATATTATATAAATACAATATAATATATATTATCTATGACATACGCATACACACATATACATAATTTGAGGTGGATGAAAATCTTTTTATGTTTGTTTTCCACCAAGAGTTGACCTTTACTAGCATGCTGCAGTTCAGAAGTGTGGTGTAAGGTCCCTGTTTGGCAAAGAAATTCTGAGCTACACATCTCACTCCGATCCTGGAAGGTGGCTCGGTTGGTCTCTCACGTCATGTAAGCAGCGTGCTTCACTTCTCTGTGAAATGGGTGGCATTTTGGATTGTGGTGATTTACTCACAGACATTCTGTTTGTGAAAATGAAAACAAGTCTAAGGACTAAATGTTTTGCTATGAATTATTCACCTTGATAAAAGTGTACCGTTTCATTGGTATATTTTGTTGACCTATCTAGCACTTGCACATGTCCCAAAACACTTTGGGACATATTGGGAAATATAACAAATAAGGAGTCTATGCAGATGCTCCTAAAATACTGCTAGAAAATGTCACCTACACAGATATAATGTCATTCATGACCAAAATAAATGTGCCATCTGAGGTGCAAGCTAGCAGCCCTTATAGGAATACCAGGAAACAACTGGTTATGGAAGCGGGATGCCAGTTCTCTCAGAGCCCCAGCCTGTTTTGGGTGGGCAGTACTAATACATTTCACTAGGCAGTGCCATTAYTGTGGCATTTTAACTGCTGTGCTATGAATGTATTTTCATCACTTAAAGTAAGCTTGTGTTCTATATTTTCTAACACTTTGTCGCACCTCCGAAGACTTCTCTGAATGTGGCAGGATGATTTTTGAGGATAAGGAAAGTCATCATCTGATTTTGCAATTGACATTAAACACCTAATTCCATTTTATTCCTTGGAAAAATCTTCTGAGCTTGTGCCAACTAAACCAACATATTACCTATTACTAAACCAACATATTACCTTCTTTATGACAACTAGCACCAAGTGACCACTCCAAGGAGCAACAGTGTGCTGATTTCTACGTGTACAAGCAGCATACACCCAAGGCTTATTGTAGGCATATCAATGATTGAAAGTGTGGTTAAATTTTTTAAGAAAGCATATTATTATCTATTAATCATTGTCACAGTGAGTTGTATGGCTGCAAACGTGCCTCCATCCATGTCTGCTGTATTATGGCCACCATCACAATCTAGTCTAGCTAATTAAACTGGAGTTTTCCTGTCCTTGGGCATAAATCCATGCCCTTGGGTTGAAATACCCTGCTGTTTTACTCAGTCTGCTGGAAGGAGGACAGATCCCCCAGTGCCTGCAGGACGCTGCTGGCCAGCATCATGGCTCTGCTGTGAGCACAAACGAAAGACCCAGAGACCGCCTCACTCTGCAGAGGCTGAAGAAGGGAYAGAGGCAGCGAGGAGGGAGCAGATCTGTCACAGGGCCCAAAGCAGCAGCTGTGCCTGGGCAGAAGGCACATTGTGCTGGGGAGAAAACACAGAGCGGGGTCTGGTTGCCACCCCAACGGAGCAGGGCTGGACTGCCCACTTGCCAAACCGACCTCTCCTTGGCCTGCAGGCAAGGTGGACCATTTGTGCAGAGCTCTCTGGACTTCAGAGGTTAGAGCTGYTCCACCACAGAGAGAAGAACCAGCCAGACCAACCTGCCATGGTTAATGGGCTGTGATGATGCTGCCTGTGGAGGTGGCTGGGAGGGAGCTCCTTTGGTCTGAGACCATGAAGAGCAAGTACAGCACAAGGGCAAGGAGCCTCCAGCAACCCCATGTCTGCCTAACATTTATAGTCTACTCCTCCAAGGGTAGAAGAGATGTTGGCTTTTCTATATCTGACATGCTAAAACCAATAATGCAATACACTACTACTACTAATCTGACTACCTACAAGGGAGACTTGAACTAAATAATCTCTGTTCTGTACCAACTTGCAACTAGGTTTTGTAATAAACCCCCTTTAAAGGAACTTCCATAGTTTTCCTTAGTACACTCAGTGCCTGCTGAGATAGGATTTGGGAAGCTTTAGGTTAGTTCAATGGGATTTAGACAGAAGGTATTTCCATTATTACTGAATCATGTCCAGGCTCTGAGAAATCCAAGTGTAAGCACTAATGTATCTAAACCACATTTTACTAAAACAAGCATGTAGGAGGGATGCAGAAAATTCTTCTCCACTTGCAAAAGACATCCTAAGATTTTAGGAGAAGCTTACCTGTACACAGTGTTTTCTCTGTGTAGGTCTTCTAAGCCACAAAGGATCTCTGCTGCATAAAACAAAGCTCGTTCTTCCTCAAAGCCTGGGTTTCCCATGTTGTAGATATGAAACTTCAAGTCACCTCCATTCATTATGGTCAGAACTAAGCACAGTGCATCCTTTGTTTCATAGGCATAGGCTAAATTGACCTAGGAAAACATTGGTAGCATAATTGTGACCGTTCAGTTGTCTGCTAAGAGGAAACTGCTGACTTTTTCATTTAAAGAAATGACTTGCAAAGGAAGAATACATTGTGTAGTAACCAAAGATAACCAGATTTGACACAGGCCTTTTCACAACAGCAAATTTACAATTAAAATATAGCAAAATCAGATATTAAAATGTTACAGGTTACTTATCAGAGAGCATTAACTTTAGTGGAGGAAGAACTTCATAGGGTGGGCAAATCTATTAAATTTAGGCATACTTTTCCAGGTAAGAGAAATCTTAACAGCCAAAGACATCACACCTCCTGCTGCTCCATCCAGCTGGCAACAAAACCTCATCCCAGGAAGGTGCAAACTGCCTGTTCCTATGCCTATAATTCCCTATATGCAGTYTGCTCTTCTCAGACTGCCCATTGCAGAGACACGAAGCTCTGTGCCAGCCCTGCAAGGCCACGCTGGGTACCCCAGGAATGGGTGGACATAGGTTTTTTTTTATGTGTGCCACTGTATCTGCTTCTCCCAGATGTAAGTAAACATGGTACTTTTGTGTGTGCTGTAGTCACAGTATTTCCTAAAATAAGTAATAAAAATGTGGCAGATACAGAGATAATGACATTTTTTAATCTAAGGCAAGTTTTTAAAGACACTAGATCAAACTGGCAGAACTCATAATAACTAGGAAAACGCTAAGTCCAGATCCATATCGCTGGCTAGGTGCTCTTGGCCAGGCTCTCCTGCTTTACTCCATTTGCATTTCCTTCAATCTCAGCCTCCTTCCTTTCTCACAGGCATTGGGATTTCAGGTAATCACTCTGGATAAAAATAGCTCCGCCTGATGCAACCCTGATGCAAGGCAAGGTTGTAAAGAGCATTATGTTCCCATGGCAAAAGCAGGCGCCGTGTTTGGTGCTTTTCTCACAGACCCCRGGCTAAAAGCGAGGCTCAGCACATGTGTGTGCAGAAGGGCGAAGGTGGAAGGAGCAGGGAATCAGCTCCAGAGGCCTTTTATGTAACAGCAAGTTGGAAGAGGCACCAGACTCAACAACAGACATGGTGCTCAGCAGGTGACCACAGCATTCATCTCCAGAGATTTCAATACTCACTACGAACTGGCTATTGACTTTTTCCAAAATCTGCTTTTCATTTAGTGCCATGGATTCGCCTTTCCTCTTTTTTATTCTCTTCTTCTCTAATCTTTTGCAGGCATACATCTTCCCTGTTGCTCGGACTTGGCAGGCGCAGACCTGAGAATTAAGGAGAACAATTGCTTGGGTAAGTCAAAGAAAACACGTTGTCTGGGTAGCACTTTGCTGCTCACAATCTGACCCAATTTAGTCCTTTTAAGGCTAGAGACGGCGCTGCAGTGAATTTGGCCTAGGCGGGGGCATCTGGGGAGCCGATGCCGTTTCCAAACCCGCTGTGTAGCTCTGGTTTAATTACTTCACTTTCCTCCGCCTGCTTCCTCTCCCACCTCCTTTTGTCTGTTTAGATTGTAATCTGCTCCCGAGTCCTGTCTGGGGCTGCTCGGAGCGCGGGAGGCACCGACCTGGAGCCATTAGTGAAACACAAATAAGGGTGTGACCCTCATTCCACAGTAAGTAAAACAGGCAGATGAAAAATAATGTTTGAAAGGGTCTTTGGAGATTACAGAGTCATGAGAGGTTAAGCGAAACTGTCACAATTAAGTGAAAATCAGCATCTGCCTMGTCGGGCTTCTGTAACCTGCACTGCCTGGGAAGTAAGGAACGTTTTTAAGAGAAGCTTTTGGAATTACTCACCTCCCCAAAGCCACCTTTCCCTAGTACCCTGTACTGCCTGAACGTGTTTTTCGTTACTGGTTGCCTGGAAGGGGAGGAAATGAAAAAGACATGTTACGTTTAATGCACTCTCTGTGATTTATTTATTTCAGAGCATACTTTTGAAAAGCAAAATAGATAAATATTATGTAATCGTATTATTTCAAGGTAATCACATTATAGAATATAATATATAATTATGTAATCACATTACTTCAATACTATGTATGGCTTGAACTTTTCAATTCCAACATATTAAGCTGTAATAAAATACAACACATTAGTGAGTCATCAGTATAATTTCTGATAGAATCTCAGGGCTAAAGAGGGTCCTGGATCTCCATCACATGGTTTGGCCTTTGCTAAGCAAAGAGGAGGCCTAGGAGCTTGTGAGCACAATTCACTCCATGGATCACTTCATGAAACACAGAAATCTTTTAAAGCTTATTTTGCCCGGTCCTCTGGCCGAGAAAAAGAGATCTACAATTCAATCCACCACAAAAGCATCTCCGTTTTCTTGACCTTAAGCAAAACAGGAAATTGATAGGAAACAAGCAAAAAACAATCCTGGGAACGGTTGGGGTGGGATGGGATTGCATTCACGGAGCTGCAAGCAGGAAGCCGGGCTCGAAGCCCTTCCGGCCCAGCTTCAGCCACCTGCCTCTGGGGACACTAGCGTGGGGCAAAAGAAGAGGAAAAGAATCTCTGTCCTTTGAGCATGCGAAACGAATTTGCCCAAACCATTCACCTGACAAGGAAGCGCTTGCATTTGGTTTCTTTTGGGAATTTACCACTGAGTCTTGCTCTGTTTTGTTTGGTTTTGCTGGTGAGTCAGCTGGGGACCACACTCTGCGAATCGCGTTCTGATTAAGGGCCAAACCATGAGCCAAATTAAGAACGAAATAAATCCCTTTCTCCTTGTGAGAGGAGGGYTCCCTACCTCATGGATTTTGTTTGGTCTCACTATCCTAGAAGAGTATCTTCAGCGGGACCATGTCCCTCCTGGGGCAGCACAAACAGCTCTCCTGGGAGATCCTTGTGCCACGGAGCACAGGGCGGGCAGGGATATCCCAGGGATGACAGACAGGGTCAAGACAGATACTGACCCAGCACAGACATTGCCATGCCCCTGGTTTGGAGGTTGGATATGCCAAGTCTGGGAGAGATGTGCGATCCTGGCCTGTGACCATGCCCATGGCCACCCCGGTGCAGGTCATGATGGAGAGGTCCCATCAGGAGAGCCTGGTGGGCAGGGCTGTTGATGGCAGAGCAATCAACGTTGATCAATGTTGATCACCCAAGAAGCGGCTCAGAGCAGGACAGAGGCTGCAGCCCTGACCTGTGCACACAAGAGATGTGGGCACTGGGCCAAGAGAGCAGGAACCAAAGGACCAAGTGACCCAGCTTCATGCTTGATGCCCTGCCCTCTCTCCGGTGCTACCAGGAAGGCCAGAAAGTTGTTGTTTTTTTTTTTTTTTTTTTTTTTTGGGACCTGGTTTCTAAAATCATTTTGGAAAAGTTTCTGCACAACCATATCAGCTCAATCACTATTTTATAGGATTTCCACAAAATTCAGATGTACCAAAAGTGCTCTGAACCTAAATGAAACTTTTACATCATCTGTTATCATTAAGGTTTCATAATGTGTCAGAGAAAGGACTTTGGTTTCTGAGACGTCACATTTTATAGCCTTGCTCGCTTGCTCAGTCACTCTCTCTCTCTATTTATCTATCTATCTATTTACCATTGAGGAATTAAAATGATACTAGCAGTCACTAATGAATATTCATAAGAACCCTACAGTAGTTTTGTCTTGCTTTTGGCGGGAAGCCAGCCAGCAGAGGGAGCACAATAACGTGGCTGTGCTAACAGCCTTGATGATGAGGTTGATGACAATAGGAATAAATGTTAGAGTGAATTATTTCATTTATGTTCATTATTACTTTTAAAAAGAAAAGTGGAGGAAGAAAAACATGCAAAAGGCCAAAACTAAAAGAGGAAAAGATGCTATTTTCAGACTTCTAAGACGATAGTGCCAATGCTATTAGGGTTAAAAGCAACAATTAGCAATGATAACTACATGCTCAACAATGTCCCTGGAATTAATGGACTGCTGGACTCTTCTGTCRGAGCCAGCGGGCTGTCAGAGTGAGCTGTTGATCATTCCATGCTACTAATATCTCTTTGTTAATCCTAAAAACAGCTCTCCCAGCTTCTTAAGCTGGATGGGCACCTCCGAAGATAGCTTGTCACRTTTGCCAGGGGAATGAAAAAGACATCCTCAAAGCATTTGAGAAAATTCCCTATCCTACATGTGAAAGCTGATAGGAAATAGCCTGGCTACAGATGAATCACCTGATTTTTTTTTAAATTGAAATGGAAGAGTAAATGCTGGATTCAGTAAAGACAGCACACGGAGCACGTCTTGGCATGAAATGGTTGCTCTCCTCTCCCCACTACTTCCCTTCCTTCTCATGCGCCAGCTTTGTAGCTTTCCAGGGAATGTAACTGGCACAGCTCCCTGGATCTCTGAGGCATTATGCCCATAGACACCTCTAAGGAACCTGGCCATAACTCATCTCCCACAATTAATTCAATTTGTGGCAACCAGGGCGTCTCTCTGCTCAAGGTCACTGTTACCCAGCAGCGTGAGTCAGTCTGCAGCACTCACAAGCAATGAAAAAGCAAAGCCCCTTCCCTGCAAATGAAGACCCCTAAGGATATCTCATTATTAAGTGTGATCATAAACGTCTAGCCAATAATATGGTGCCAATATATGCTGTGTTTGAGTCTGTTTACAGTGATGTTGATAATGGTGATAATTGGTCCAGATAAAAAGCCATATTCAGAGCAGCTAAGCGGGAAGACTGAAATTGTTGAAYGTATTTTAATCATACCTAATGTGCTGGTCATTTAGCAGCAGAACACCTGAGCTTTAGAGGACCAAACAAGCTCCCTGGAATGGATTCCTGCTTTAATATTTACTTCCCTATCAAGCAGCATCTGGTTCATTCTTGCTTGGGCTCACTGCAAATGTGAAAGCCAGAGACTGGATGGGTATCTTATATTTAGCATTACAGATGCACAAGGGTAGGTTATGAACAAGCATAATATACCCTTCAAAACCTTCTCCACATATGTAGCTCATGGTGAAAGGACCTACACTGAAATTTGTTGCAAAATTTTGTCAAAACACACAGATCTGCATTATCTCAACTGTCATATTTTGACTGAATTCTAGAAGCTTTGCATGGAAAATGAAAATATACCTTTTATTTTCATTTTGAACTAAAAAAAAGAAGATAGCAACACTTACCTTTCCAGCCACTTCCACTGCAGAAACCTGTCGAAGTACATGCTGTTTAGGTATTCTTGGAATGGTTCCCCACTGAGGTGGTCAAGGACAGATCTATCTCAGATGAAAAGGATATATAAGCATTTTATAATCCTGAATTTGGAGCAAAAGACAAATTAAACAAGTGGAAAAAAATCCAGACTGCTTGTAAATCAGGGTCATTTCCCTTCCACTTTATTTTCTATTTTATTTTACTCACGGTTTCAATCATTAAACACTACTTGGGAACTAAGCGATGTTCTTATATTATTTCATAATAGGAGGCCTTATACAAGCTGAGTGCTGTTAGGCACAGAGGCTGTTAGCCACAAGGGAACTAATATCTTAGTTTCTGTTAGTAAATTAAGACTGACTTAACCCTGCTCTGCCAGGAACAGAACTCCTAAACTCTGGGGAATGTTCAATCTGGATCCAAAATTCCTGGCTGAGGCCCATTTTCCTCAGAAAAGAGGCCATCAGAGGTGGTGTTTTGAGTAAAACAAACAAACAAACAAATCTCAGAAGAAATAACAAATGTGCTTAAAGTCAAGGGGCTTTCCCTGACAGCTGTGTGCCTTGCAAAAACAAAGTGAGTGAGTTGGGGAATYTGGGTCTGCATCAAGTGAGAATTTGGGGGGATCACACAGTGGATGCAAAGTCTTGGTGCAAAGGCCCATCTGCAAATGTGACAAATGGATTTGTTGTCTGCGAGAGGCCACAAGCAGCCCCAGAYGGAGAGACCTGCAGTAAGGAAGGCTGGGGCTCAGAGCTGAGAAGACAGGCTGCTTACGGCAACCATTTCTTAACAGCAAAAATTCTTCTTAAAGAATTCTTCTTTTTAATACAAAATACTATTTAGAAAAAAAAACTGATATAAATTATTTTTTATAAATATCTAGAATTTTTTTCTGGAGGAGAAAATTCTCTGCACAACTATTCTGGTTAGAGAAAGGATAACCATGTCTCATCCTGATACGGTTCTAGGAATGAGCAAACCATTCAGAATGAAAAATGTGCCCCCGCAGTTTAGTTCTGCACCATTCTTTAATTACAATTTGTAAGTTTTTTGGAAACTTTCAGATTTACATTTTTACATTTAATTTTACATTAATAATTCTTGATCCATAGGTTTGCAAGAAGTAGGTGATTGCAAGTATTCAATATTCAGAAGTCAAATGGCTGTTGCCTTCATCAGCTTTGACTGGACACAGGTCGCTCAGTATACATCTTACGGAGAAGAAATATTCTCCATAAATGGATTCAAGTTTACAAAAAAAAAAAAATCTGTGTTAATAAGGTTTAGAAAAGGTCCAAATCAGACCCCAAATTACAGAGGAAATTAGTAGGGGGCAGATAGAGGAACACAGTCTAAATGCTGAAGGTCAAAGCAGAAGCACGTGTACATTTACACATACATTTTTCTCGCATATTGATCTTATCTGGGAGGATTTGTCTGAAACTCATCCCCGCTCTGCTCCCACGGGATGTCAAGTTTCATACTTGTGCGCACGCTTCCCTTTTTTGGTTTGACTGAGAACACTTCCAAAATTAACGCTGCTCAATGCGTGGAGCAACAGCAAGCTCTTAAAACTCCCTTTTGACCCSAGCTCGGTCCATGTGAAACCATCAGCATGTTTATCAGCGAGGTCTCAAAAGTGGCTAATTTATCTGTTTCAGTCCACAACAAGGACTGGCTGCCTGTGAATAAGAGCCTGAATTAAGTGGTATCCGACGCTAGCCAATTCAATTCAGTTAATTAAAAGCTTCACGAACTTTCAAAAACAATAGCTGCCTTTCACCAGCCGCTTGCTTTTTAGTTCCCTCTTTGGCACCGGCAAGGCACATTCTGGAGCAAACTGTCAGCTCTGGAATTGATGTCAGGAATGGGCGCAGCCCCGGGGGTTACGTCCCCCACGGCTCTGCCTTTGTCACCGTGCCTGGTGCCTGCGAGTGGTGCGAGTTACACGAACATCTCAACGCGACGCGGGGCCAAAGCGAGTGAACTCGGCACAAGAGGAGGCCAGAAATAACCCCACATCTCCTACCAACGCAAAGAATAACTGAAAACAGAAAAGGTCAATGAAATGAGTCAAAACAATGAATGACAGCGGAGCAAATTTTACAAATCCCCATTACATCACCCAGGGAAAACAAACCGTGCTCAGCCAGAAACCACACGGGCTGGCTTGCGATGATCCCTCCTTTTCATATTTTTATTGGTTTATGATCTACTGGYGTGCGCGTCCGAGGGCCGGCATTTGCAAATGCAAATCGCATACCTGGAGCTTTAGGGCATAATAGCACAAAGCGCCTCGCCGCTGCAAAACCTGATAAGCCTTTTCCCAGACAAAGCACGAAATAATGGACGCACATTTGAGCTCCGCAGGCAGACAGCAAGCATTAAAAAAGCCTCATTCTCCCGTTGAAGATTTTCTGGAAAAGCCACGCGGAGCAAGTTTGCACATTCCTCTGTCTAAATGGACTGTATAGCCACTTAATTTTTATTCACTTTGAAACAGAGATGTTTTCTTTGGATACATTATCATTGTAGCTCTTTTCACACAGCACGAAATCTATGGCTGGTTTCCTTGGCTGGAACACTCGGTCAAATACCTGAAACACTAAGTGCCTGTGTGTAGTGTATATAAAGGCATGAAAATATTTATTATATTTTGTTCAGATGAAATAACTGCACCATTTGTCAGTGATGTCTCTCAGATCCTGAATGTACGTCGAAAATACACGATTCACGTGCAAATTCCAACTTCTTACCTGGCACATTCCTCACAAGCTGCTGACTGCAGCCGTGGGACCTCTGGATATCAAGTTATACTTACTTTGTGCACTGAGAGAACAGCTCTTTGCMGGGACTGACTTCGAGTTTTTCCTCTGTCTGCTGGATAAGATCTGGACTGACATCTGGAACATAAGCTGGAGACTGGGGAGAGAACAGAGGGGCACATTATCGCTGCGACGAGGTGCAGATTCTCCCCTCTTAACATGTAAAAGACACATTCATTATTTAGGCCCTGAGTTGCTCCAGTTCAGTTCCAGCGGTTGTGTAAAAGCAATGAGACTTTACGTCAAACAGCAGTAAAATAGGATACGGTGGTAACTTACTCCACATTCCACTCTATCCTCATATTGCTTTTTTTTGCCTTCTTCGGTGCCTTCACCTCCTTTCCCAGGCTCATGAATATGCAGGACCCATCCCTTGCCAGGTCTTTGAACTGCTCCCTTGCATCCCATGAAAATGTGCTGGACTGAACTGAGTACGAGCCATTCTCTTAAACAAAAGAGAATTTGCCCAGTGTTTTCACTCCATTGATGATTCATTGTGCTGTCTGAAAAACCCATCTTTTCTTTTTTTCCCCCCAGCAAGATTTCAAAGAAAAACAAGAGCAGAGCATGTGCATGTATTGATTTAAAGAAATAATATGAAAAAAATGCTTGTAAAAAGTGTCTGGACACTTTAATACAGAATTAGAAGGACAAAAAATAATTCAGCAGTTTTAAAATAATCATTGCAAGAAGGAATTCTGCCAAAAAACTGCACATAAAATCTTTTCATTCTCTCCACCCTTTGGAGAGAATGTCCCATTAGCCCCTTTGAAAAACCCTCTATGAAAGAAGACTTTTGCAGTGTGCCTTGATGGTCAAACGATTTAGGACCTTTGGGACTAATAAGCTATAGAGATAATTTTTAGGCAGTCCACATTCTTACTCATTAAAAGGATACTGAAATTATATAAAAAATGTATATGCATGTGTTTGTACCCATTTATAGACACYCATCCCGTATCGATGAAAGCCCTTTTATATAATCAAGAGGACTGAGCCATTTTCAAAATATCCAGGCATAAATGCCAAAAAAACCCTTTCCTTGCAGAAAGCGAAGCACTGGGTGAAGCTGCCCATCCTTGGCCATGACCACCAGATGTGCTCTGAGGGCACAGAGCATCATCACTCATTCCTGGCCAGATGTTCTCATTAACCCACCCTCAGCCGGGGGTATCCTGGCAAGCACTGAAGTGCCGGCAGAGTCAGAACCACTGGGAATGTTTCTCTRCTAAGAGGAGTTTTTCCACTCAGATGCTTTTTGATAAGAACATGGTTTACAGAAATGTCTGTACATGCTAAGCAGCACAATATCACRATTTAACATTGAAATACAATCAGCAGAACATGCTGGATACCTTTGACCTCACTGAAGATTTCTCTTATATCTTCCATATTCCATATTTTCCTTAGCAGAAGATGGCTGGGGAATGGCCACTTTTATTTGCAGACAGAGGACATYGCAATCCCTTAAAAGACCTCACTCTAAGAGGTAGATGAGTCCCCCGTATAATCCTCTAAAAATGAAGAGATTGAGATAACGCCAGATTTCCTTGGCTGGATTAGTCACCAAGGTTGACAGGAACTGAGAACTGTAGAGCAAGTCTCAGTAAATTGGACCTCTTACAGAAATTCCTAAATGTTGACTCACATGACTAAATCTAAGTCACACTTGTAGCCCAAGAGAGCAACCAGAGGCAGGAAGAGTGAAGCAGAGAAAGAACTAGGAATAAAACCTAGAAGTCCTGCTTTCCAGTCCTGGAGATGCTGTATAAAATGGGGGGGGAAGGGGGAAAAGGGGAGAAAAAAAGAGCTTTTTATAAGAATCTTCATAGAGGACCCTGACCCAAAGCCTAATGATTAGCAGTCTTTCAGGTGATTTGAATAAGGAATAATGTGAATTGATATATTGGAATTAACGTGTAATTTACCTCTTATTAACACTTTTTAGAGTCAATGGGCTACACTACACAAGCTCATCTGCAACACAAGGTTGTACGTGGCTCTGTGAGTTCGCTGCTCTAAGATCTGGYTGTCTCGAATTTATCTCTAAGCTACAGGGCACAGAATTTATCTCTAACCTATAGGGCACAGAAACACCATTGACTTCTGTAGCTTTTGTCTGGCTGGGAATCAGAAGTGCATTTTCTAATGTGAGTGGAGTTACGCTTTAGTAAAATCAAAAGTAAAAGAGAACTAGGGCCTATAAATAAAGCCTCTATTAGTAAAATCTAAAATTTGCTCTAGGCTCTAGGCTTATAGGCCAAAACTTGGAAACAAAAGGTAAAGTTGAAGATAAATTTGTCTTGATTTCATCATTGGAGAAGACCATGCCTATAAACTGCTACTGCAAATTTACTGGAAGGCTGCAGATTCACACCCAAATTTACTGCACAGTAGCATGCTTATGTGGCCATCCCTTAGGGTCCCCCCAAGGTATTTGAAGAAGGTCCTGTTTATTCACGTCCCAAATTATGAATACAAGGTCTGTGCTGTGGACAAACAGGTCTGAACGTTCTGCATGACTCTTCCTTTCACACCTCAGGGATCTCTGTGGCCTCTCTGCTGTCCATGTTATAATAATAGTTCTATCAAATTTTGTCTGAGATCAAAGTAAATTGAAGAAAAACAATGTCAGCTAAGTCTTTTTCATACAAACTAATTATTTTACTATTATTTTACATACTAATTATTTTTTACTATTTTACTATTTTGCTATTTTTACTATTTTACTATTTTACTATTATTTTACATACTAATTATTTTACAGAGGAAAAGGAGGAAAAGAAACTACAAAACAAAGTGGGAAGTCTTCATAAATGGCATGAACTGTGATTCCTCTCTCCAAGTTTGTGGCAGATACAGACAGCACTGGGTTTTCCAGAATCATTCCTTCCTGACCTTTGAATCTTTGCTTCCTTTAAACAAACCAAGAGCAAACTAACAACATTAAGGTAGGTGAAATGCAACAACACTCTCTACAAGGACTAAAGCCTTACTGTGCAGTGCAAACCATTTACTCCGGCACTTCATTTTCTGTTGCAAAAATAACCACTTCCTCCAGAGGCTGGACATTTGCAAAGGTCCTGCGGGTCTAGCAAGACCCTGAGTGCCACCACGCAGCCCYTCGCAGCGTTCAAGGTGCCTGTTCCACCACCAGGGAATCCCTGCACCAAATCCTATCTGCACCCTGTGCAATTCTAGGGAGTCTTTGTACATCTTTTCTGATATTTTCAGAATTTTCTGATATTCACAATTCCCGGAGCTCCTATTCAATAACCATGACTACTGCCTTCCCAGTTGGAGCACTCTGTATCTGCAGCCTTCAACTGTTAACACCAAACCAGAAACAACAGCAGCAAAGACACAAAAACCAACCGACCTACCTAAACACCACAATCTACACCGTGACATCTGAACATGTGGCACAAAATGTTCCTCCCGCTCTCCAGAAAATGTTCAAAGACTGTTCACTTGCCTGCATTCAAAGCCAAACCAAACTGAGTAGCTTTATCAAGGACAGACCTGGATTTTTGTTAACGGCTCTTGTTTCCTGAAGTCAAAAGAGGTCATTTTGTTCTCATTCACAATAATGTAATTCAGGAATGATGCCAGACGAGCCAGTAGAGTAACACTAGGGTAAAGATGATTGAACTGAAATAACAAAAATGGGCCAAGACTCTGGCAGTACAAAAAGTGGTTAAATTGGTCTAATAAAATTATTCTCACTAGGTTACACCATTTGACCATAGAGTCTAATAAAAGTTCTAAATGTAGTGACTTTAACCATTTTTTAATCCAAATCTCCTATCTATCTTCTAGTTTATGGTTTGAAAACAAAATCCCTCTTGTAAATATTTTGTAGGCACAGCAACATCTCAGTTTTATGATGTCCTTTTGCTTAATTTTTAAGAAAAGAATGCAACTTGGAATTAGGTCAGTGATTAGCTGAAAAACTGGAAAGGGATATACAGCTACCTCTGAGTTCAAATCGCACAGTCTTTAAAAAATCTGCACTTTCAAATTCCATCTTTTTAAATCAAAAAAACAAAAGGCAACTTTTCAGCAGCCTGTTCCACTTCCAAATATGGCTTGAGAAAAGATGAAAACTGACAGACTCTTCCAAGGCTGTATTCCTATCCACAAAAAAAAATTAAAAAAAGTAAAAAAAAAAAAAAAAAAAAAAGAAGGAGATGGCTCCTCCTTCCAAATTAAGTCTCAAGTACTTCTCTTCAAGTACTGAAAGGAAGCACAATCTGCTTCAGGCTCAGATAAAAAACACCCGGGCTGTGTAACTCCCCATTACCTGTTATTTTAAGTGTCATGTCATACCGCTGTGAGGTAAAATGTAAACTCTGCTCTTCTGACAGCTCTGCAAGCTTTGCTACAGGCTGCCTCCCTCAGCCCTTCAAGACATGGTGTTAGGTGACCTTCACTGCACAGGACAGAAAAAAAATAAACCTCTTGTAAAATCATCTCTGTATGTCTGATAGGGCACTTACTTAAAATATTTCTCCGATGGTTAGTCCCCCTGCGTGGAGGACACCCCACTTTTTGTCAAWAGGAGCTGAACAAACTCTACAAAACAAGCTGAAACCTCTCCATACCACAGGAGTCACTTTTTATGATAGTTATACTCTTTTGTTAAAATATGCTAATTTTCCTAATTATTCCTTAACATAGGAACTGCCAGAGCTTTACAGTGGGAAACTTTGGTCAAGATGTAATACACTACAAGTGCTGCTTGCAATGCTCCAAGTTGGAATTTAAGGGATTAAAAAGCATTTTCCTGATAACACAATCAGTTGGGATGAGCCTTTTTGGAACTGAGTGAGTAGCAGGTGTGTGTGTGTAACCAACCCTCATTTTTCATGATAGTTGTCCGAGTCCAGAACAGATGGACAGACAATGCAAAGCTGAGTTTGTGTGGGTAGATTTAGYTTATTGCATGTAAAGCTTCTGTTTTGGTGGGGAAAATGCCCGTATAACATGGGAAGCTGAGGGGGAAATGCTGAGACTCCAGCTACCAAAGCATATATA